ACTTCAAGTCTTCAACTAGGAATTTGATTATGTTAATTATTATTTAATTTTGCCACTTAGTATTACGGTCTAGTGGTATTCTTCTTAGTTTAAGAGTGAGAGGTCTTAGGTTCGAATCTCGTGAATGACGAATTTGATTCCAAATTAAGCTACCCATTGTGTGACTTAGCCGAACTCCTCCTCCCTCTAGTGTAAAAATATTGATGTACTCAAAATTATTATTACTTTCAAATAAGGAAATTATTTTTTTTTTAACAAATGATATTATCTACACTAAAGGGGAGGGGGTAGGGTTTAACTTCACAATGGGCTAGCAATAATATAATTCAAATTCGTCTTTGGAGATAATCGAACCTAAGACCTCTCAATTATAAGTGAAGATGAATACCACTAGACCTTAGTACTAAGATGCGGAAATTAAAAATTTTAATTAAGGGGAAATAGGGTTTTCGTTTTGAAAGATGATGTGTCAACTCTAAATCTGTTAGATTGAATTTTTAATGAGCTAGCATGTGGAGAGTAAAGGGCAAGGAGATCCTAGCAGAGAAAAACCAAGCAGAAGATCTGAATCGCAAGATATATGGATGAGAATTACAAGTTTGAAATACTTTGAATTAATGATATGATATGCATTCAGACCAAAAGTTATCAATCTTCAACAATAATATTCACAATAACATAACATTGTTAGAGCATATCTATTGTAATTGATGCTTTCCTAGCCAAAACCGTTTGTGTGTAATCAAGGACATAAGCAAATTAGGTATTAGATGTTAAGGTTGGTTATTCTCAAGCTATTTTTTGTTGGAGATGGAGATCAAGGCTCAAATTTTAACAGGTGTTCGTTATCTACGATAACTAAGTTATAATCTCGAGTTTAGGAAGATAAGTTGGCTAAGAGATCATGCATGCATTCATAGTTGGATTAGTCATATTCATTATTACGCATCTCAACTTGATATGATGCACATAGTGCTTAGAATTACATGAAATTTTGGAGCATGTTTCAAGACGTTAACTCTTTTGTAGTAATTAATTAAAGTTTCACCTCCAGGGCGCTCGAACGGATGAGAAACGCTCAAGTGGAAATTGTTAAGTTTTGGGCGCTTGAGCACACCATACGAATTTCAGTTTCTCAATTTCAATGTTTCACGTGTTTTCACTTGCGTTTTACATCCCTTTTTTAATGTGTTGTCTTCCAATATTAGCATTATGTCTCTTATATGTCTAATAACAAATAAATTAATATATTGCATCTGACAGATTTTCATATGAGTTAGCTTTTCTTATGAATCTTTTGGGTTTCAACCATATATCATGTTCCTACAAGATCTGGTTTTTATTTTAGTCACATTTCAATATATTGGGATTCTATGTGGTGGAAGATTTTATAGAGAAAAGCCATGACATTATTGCTGTAAATCTGTGATGACCAAAAAAAGTCCTAAAATAATCTTGGAATGTGTTGTGTCATGTGACTTACAAGTCATCGAAACAAAATCCAATTTTCCGTCATTTCAACCTTGAGCTACTCTCTTCAAATTCCTCATGAATTAGAACATATCTCTAACAACAGCTTATAATGATGACATGAAGTACGAAGATATTTATTTTCCATGGCTTTTCCAAAATTGTAGTGATATCAATTTTCCCATCAATAGAACAGCCCCATTTCTAAGGTTCTTTAGCGATAACAGAACTGTGAGGATGTAACTCTTTTATCTTCACATCCTCACAAGTCATTTCTCATGTGGCAAATTTTCAAGCCAAACATGTGAACTATACGAATTGGTAGACGTGGAAAACGTGTGGCCATTGAGCTTCACATATGGGTCAACTTGCTATAATATCATGAAGAAAGTTGAAGTTTCACCATAAAACCGGGAATTGTCCAACCTCTTATTGGTTTTTCCATGTGGTTTGTTTGTGTGCGCTGGGCTCCATGTTGGTTTTGGGGCTTTGTCTTCCGTATGTTTGTGGCCCGTCTCCTACTTTTTTTTTTTTTTTTTTTTTGGTGACTTAACTTGTTTTTGGGCTTTGTTGTACTTGTAATTGTTAGTAATGTAATATACTCTTTGTCCAAAAAAAAAAAAAAGTCTTCACCATATCACTTAGAAATTTAGGGTGCGTCTGTTACACCTCATTAGCTTAGGAGGGATTGGCTTAATTAGGATTATAATCCTATATTTGGTATGGTATTGGGCTAGACTGAACGAGACTCACCTCGACTATTAGGCGCTCTGCTTCACTAAAACTTAGTATCTAGTCCCATACTTTCACTTAGGGCGAGTTTACGTAACCGTAATCGGAATTCAATTCCAATTACGGGGTATACCTTTGTTTACTAAACTTGGGGAGTAAAAAAAAAGGTGGGACCCACACAAAAATTTGGAATTCAATCCCAAAATTTGGAGGATTTGGATTCCTTAGATTAACATGGTATTTGGATTCCTGATTGCTTGGGCAATCGGAATGACATTTTTGTTCCCTTTATGCCCTCACTTACTTTTTTTTATTTCCAAGACTATCCTTTATAAACTCATTAACCCTAGTTTAATTATGCACAACTCCCTACTTTTTTTTATTTCCATGCTCATTCACATTATGCACAACTTCATGCATATGCCAAAGAGAAGAAACTACAACTTGAACGAGAAAATTTAAATATTAAAGTAAATACGTAAATTTATATAAATAAACAAAATCATTTTAGTGTGTCTATGAAATAAAAAAGCAATTTAATTTTTGTTTTTTTACTATTATATCAAATTTTGTTAAAAAAAAAAGTATATAAAATATTTGATCTGAGACAAGGGCATTTTAGTAATCATACTGGTTTACATTCCAATCTGCTGTATTAATAAACAGCTTTATGGAATTAGTGTCATTTCTATTCCAATTCCAGAATATTTAAGTAAACAGTTTCACCATGAATTCGATTATGACTACTTCTCAATTCAATTCCTCTTATTTTCATTACAGTTATGTAAACGCGTCATTAATATTAAGCTGGACTAACAAGGAAACGGTGTCGACGACCTCCCCACTCCTCTACATACGTCTCTCTCTTCTTCTCTCACTAATCACAAATCCGTGTTGCGAAGGTCAATTCTGCAGATTGCGTCTTGTCGTGGACATCAAAGAAGGATTCCGAGGCCGATTACAAGGGAGTTTTCCGCCGCAGCCCCCAAAAATGATTCCCACCACTCTGGCGTTGCAGCCATTACTCCCCCGGCAGGAAACGGCTGTTCTAGCGCCCAAAATTTTCTATGAGGCACTGCAGTTGGTGCTGGGTTTGTGGTAGCTTACAAAACTGGATATTTCTGGGTCTCTCTCTTTCGGGTCTGATTATTTATGGGCCGATTGTGATAGAAAACCATTTGGGTATTTTTTTCAAACCAAATATTTCACAATTCTTATACGGCTTAGTTTAAATCAAGTCAATCTAACTTAATATATGAAGTTAGTCTAGTTAGAGATAATTCACTGTAACAAACACACCTTTTGAATATATTTTTTTTAGCATGATCCTTCATAAATACGTAAGCAAAACTATCAAAACTTTGATGAGGCTTCGCTCCTCCATCGTTTTCCATCTTTCTTGTACTATCAAAAAGTTAGGTATGTTCTGGGACGAAAGGATTTGAATCTCTGAATAGTGGGACCAAAATATGTTACCTTTTAAAGATTTCAATTATACATCCCGCAATCATCTTTTGTTCGAATGTGATGGACAAAGTTTCATATCGGTGATGAACCAAATCTTGTAAGAGCTTACAAGTAGTAGGATTACTCCTTATATGTCAATTGATTTATGGTAGAACCTTAACTTTTTTTAATTTTTACTTCATTAGACAAATGGTTAGATGTGAATTTAATTTGCAATTATTTTTTTATTCTTTGAACAAACTAGTAATGTTTTATAAACTCATTTAAAATCTTAAGTAAATACTCTGAAAGCAAAATCTTATGAGGAGTGTATTCAACAATATACTAAATGTTCATAAAAAAGAAAAAGAAACAAAAGCGAATATTTCTACACTTTTTTAAACACCCTTACAACTTTGATTAATACCTTGGATCCCAAGGGGTCTCTGTAAGTTTCTGTTAGACACCAAAAGAAAAAAAAAAAAAATCATCTGAGCTTAATGCTGTACGAGATTTTCATCGTTTCTAAGATTGCTTAACGAAACCAGCTATCCTTTTTTTTGTCGAACAAAACCAGCTTTCGATAAATACGGTATATGTAAGAACACCACTATTACCGCAAGCGCAAGCGCAAGTAAGACTGAGTCAAAATGGGGAAATATTCTCAGTTCCGGTTGGTAAATGTGAACATATGGAAAATGAGGGATTTAAGGATCCAACAGTCATATCCGTTTATCGTATATCGTACGGTTAGTTTTTATTAGATACTATTTATATTTGAATTTTAAATTTTAAATAATTTTTAATCATATGATGTACAATAAATGAACACGATTACAGAATTTCTAAAAAAATAATCCGGCGGATATCCTTTTCCGTGAACATATATAGCTAAAGCCACCAGAGGAGAGAGAATCAGAGAGAGAGAGAGAGAGAGAGAGAGGAGCGAATTTCTAGAGAAAAGTGTAGGTAGTACGTGTGTGAAGGGTGAAGGTAGTGTCTCGTGGGTTTTGGTCGACATGTCAAGCGGTACCAGTCATTTCTTGTCTTCCCCTTCTCACTGTAACTGACAGTCTTTCATGGGTCCCCAACTCTCTCTGCGACCACTCAGCTCTCACGGGCGGCACCACCCTCTCTCTCTCTCTCTTCATGGTCCCCATGCAATTATAGCGTAATGATTTTTACCTTATGAATTGCTGGCTGTAAAGGTAACTCACTTTTCTTTAGGGTTTAACCTTTTCAAATCAAAACTTGATTTCATCTTTAGAAACTTGTCCACTTCTCTTGTAAATTATTATTTCAATTATTATATACCGTAGACATATATTGAAAAAAAAGAGAGGAGCGAATGGGTTCTAGCGGTCCAGCTGAGTCTATGGCTGACCGACTTTGACATAGCAGCCGTATTTGATAAGGAGAGAGAGAGAGAGAGAGAGAGAGAGAGAGAGAGGAAATATTCTCTTTTGCCTTCATTTTCCGTTTGGTATTTTTACTTCCAAGTGCAAGCGAGGACTTTTCCCAGAAAACAAAATAGCTTGATTCTGAAGTTCTTAATTTGTTCTCAAGGATTCAATACACAAAAACTGAGATTTCTTGTATTGTCTTCCAGAGTAGTAAGCTTTTTGTTTTTTTTTTTTTTTAACTTTTTAAATTTGTTTTAGTGGGTATTGCACCTTCTGTTGTTACTTTTGCTGGTCTCGCAAGTTTATAACACAACCCATTACTACTGATAAGCTCAACTTCCAGATGATGTCCGAAGATGCGCGTTTAGTTCCATCCATCATCACAGGGTTTGCTCAAGAGCCCGATTCCAATCCTAACCCTAACCCTAATACAAATAATCAACTCAAAAGGAAGAGAAGTTTACCTGGAACACCAGGCAAGTGTGTTTTCATCTCTACCTTGCATCTTCATACAATTCTTTAGCTTCGAATAGTATATTCATCAATATTCCTTTTTTGTTAATTATTCTCTTTTTTCATATTATGTTTGATGGGACTTCTACTCAATTGCAGATCCAGATGCAGAAGTGATAGCTATGTCCCCAAAATCCCTAATGGCCACAAACCGATTCGTTTGCGAAATTTGCAACAAGGGTTTCCAGAGAGACCAGAACTTGCAGCTTCACCGACGTGGCCACAACCTTCCATGGAAGCTCAAACAAAGATCAAAAACAGAAGTGATTCGGAAGAAGGTGTACGTGTGCCCAGAAAAGTCCTGCGTGCACCACGAGCCATCGCGAGCGCTCGGAGACCTCACCGGAATAAAAAAGCACTTCAGCCGAAAGCACGGCGAGAAGAAGTGGAAGTGCGAGAAGTGCTCAAAGAAATACGCAGTTCAATCAGATTGGAAGGCACATAGCAAGGTTTGTGGGACTAGAGAGTATAGATGTGACTGTGGAACACTCTTTTCCAGGTACTACTGTTTATTTCCGATTTAATCTCTCACTTCCTATCTTTACAAATTCCCTCCTTTTATATGATTAATTTGGGGAGAGAATATACATTTAATGCTCTCACGTAGAAACTTTTATGGGGTTCTATTTGAATTTAATGCCTGTATGATTCCTCAAGTGTACGATTTTTTCATGTATGTTTCGAGTACTGCTGAACTCATCCAATCTGCGGGATTTTTTAGTTTGCACCGGGTATCTACCATACACGGGATCCTCGACTGCCAGATCCTTGTTCATTTAATTTTTTAAGCATATTCATCCATTCATACTCAAGAGTATATTCAACTATTCATTACTCCATTACATTGCCATACACTCGAGCATAATATAATTTGTTTACTAAGTTTCTCTGACTACTCAAATGTGCTTTATACATGCTTATAATGCACTGTTACACTCTTCAGCTTGTTGACCAAATTTTGTTAAACAGGAAGGATAGCTTCATAACACACAGAGCCTTCTGTGATGCTTTAGCAGCTGAGCAAAGTGCAAGATTCTGCTCAGCTCCAACTACCAGTAATATCAATCCAAGCTTCATGAATGGGTCTATTGCCAATAATACCCATAAACCACAAAGAATCCCACATTTTATACCAATGTTTCAACCGGAATTTGCTGGCTCTGACCACCTAGCAGCCAACAATCATCTCAGTTCCAATGCTTTTATACCTGAAATGCTGCAAACGGCATCAATGGACATGTTTGGATCATCGTCATCATCTCAGATGCAATGGCTCATCAACAATAACAAGTTCGTGGAAGAATCATCATTTGCAAATGCCAACAATCTCTCTATGTCATCACCATCATTACTGCGGGGAGTGCTTAAGGAGGACGAAGAATCCAAAGGGAGTTTCTCTGAAACAATAAGTACTACTACTAGCACCTCTTTCTATAATAACAACAATAACAAACAGAACCACCACCACCACCACCAACCCATGTCAGCCACAGCACTTCTGCAAAAAGCAGCTCGAATGGGATCTACAACCAGCAACAACAACAACCCAGCTACAACATTCAACGACACCACCTTGAACTTCAATGATTTGGTGAATTCTATGTCTTCCTCGTCAACTCAAGGAGCCACAATTGAAGATGGGTCACTGTTCTTGAGCAACAAACACTTGATGATGCCAGCTGGAGCAGCAGCCATGACAAGACAAGGAACAAGTGAGCAAAGCAGTTTAACTAGAGACTTTCTTGGAGTGGGAGGAGGTGATGCAATATTTGGTGGCGGAGTGCCTTTCTTTCAACAAGAGCTAGCAAAGTTAGCTTCTATGAGTGACTTGAGCCAATACACTAGTACTACTACCAGTAGTCGGCATCAATGACATCAATTACAAGGTAATTATAATTCTAAGAAAGACTTTGTTGTACCTATAACTAGAGTTTTAGACGAAATGAATACCAATGGAAAGTAGATTATTAGGAGGCTAACGAGTCTGAGTTGGACTCTATAAAGTGAGTCAACCCGTGGAGAGAGAGAGAGAGAGAGAGAGAGAGAGAGAGAGAAAGAGAGAGAGAAAGCGCGCGCTAGTGCAGGTTGGGAGAGACCTAACAAAAAGAGAATTCATGGGTTTAAAAGAGGGAGGAGGGAATAGGGACCCTCCCTGCATGCATGTTGTAGATTTTATTTTGTCTTTCTTTTCATTTGATAAACGCTAAAGCCTAACATGTGTTATATTTGCTTGTGAGTTGTGACCGATGTCGCTGCCTTTTCTCAGTGTCAACATTTGCCACCATCAATTTCAAACAAGGGAATCTAATGTACGTTGGTGTGGGCCTGATTCAGAAAAAGTTCAATGACAATGGAGTTGGTTCTACTTTATTTACTAGATTTGAGGTAATTTGCATTCCCAAGTAATTAGTAATGTTTAATTGTTAGGTTAACGTGAATGTTTGGCAATTGTTATATTCGACAAACAAGCTTGTGGTTTATAACAAAAATATCTTCTTCCTATTTGTTTATAATACATCACTCTAATCCAGTCTTTTATCCCTGACAAAATAAGAATATCCTGGCCTCTTTTTATTAGTTTTGTATAATCCAAATAGTTTTTTTTTTTTTTTTTTTTTTTTTTTTTTTTTTTTTAAAGAAACTGTTATATTATCAATCAAGTGCCATTCAATAAAAAACTAAATTGATCTCAAATATCACCTACAAAACTATCAAATACCGTTGGTGTCTAGAAAATTAATGTAGAAAAAGACCAAAAGATGCTATTTCTCACTCAAGAAGGACGTCTCTCCCTCACCACATGTGCCAGGGATTTCGGCCACATCTATATCATCAACATGCAGCCTTGTGTGACCCCTACCATTCTCTTGGTCTTAGCAAGCTTTTCTCGTGGTGGAACGCCATTTGTCTTGAATCCCAATTAAATTGTTAGATCTAGACAACTCTAGCAAGGTATGAGTTGAGTCCAAGAATTTTGATAGTTGAGCCGGATAGGTCACCTTAATCTATGCGGGGTGTTGCAGTTGTGCCCGAACAGTGGAACAATGGTTGAGGTGATGGCGGCATATGGCTAGGATTTGCATATCTAAGTGATTACAATGAGTAATGAGATCTATGTCAAAATAAGGAGCAACACATATCTCCCAAGCGCAACTGTTGTAGAACTTTTCTTTTAGGTTTTCGTTTTTTTCAGCTCGACCATTTTAAATCAAAATAAGTTGTAGCAACTTAACTTGAGTTTGTTGTGCAAGTTTGTTGTCTCTTCCTGTTAGAGCTTCTAGCATTAATTTTTGGTTTTTTTTTTCCTGATGGTGGTTTACACAAGCTTCGCTAGTTATTGGGATGAGTCTAAGGAATTAGTTATTGGGATGAGTCTAAGGAATAACTTAAGTAGTATGCACGGAATTGCAAAAATGTTTCAATACTGATAAACGTATTATGTATCCTATGGATATTAAGTCCTAAACTATATTCCTAGCCATAGGATGATCTAAAGGACTATCGAACATCCACAAAGGCCGGTTTATGTCGTATGCAATAATATGTCTCAGAGTAAGCATGTAGTGACATAAAATAGACATAAAGGTGCTAGGAGATCAAACTCATTGAACATTGACCAACTATAGAAGTATACGAATGAATGATTACCTACTTGTCAATTGTACCACACTTCTGATTAATGGATGCAACTAGTTCTTAGACCTAACGCACTGTTATCTCATGTTGATAAATGTGATCTTTGGTCTCCCCTAAAAGCTCTCAAACAATAGTGCAATCCTATAGTGTGAGTTTCGGGATCATTTGATCACATTCATGCTTAGAGTTTGACAAAGGGTGGTGTTATCCACACACCCATTTTTACCTCCGACACACCATTGTCAATTTATGTCCCTTGAACTTCTTCAATTTATTCGATTGGACAGTCGTAAATTGAGAGAGGTGTGTGTGAAGTAAAAATGGGTGTGTGGATAGCATCACCCTTGACAAATGTTCCATGCTCTATTAGAATATAGTAGATAGAGGAACTGAATTGTATTGTAACCATAACTAAGGTTCTAAATATGTATTGTATAAATTCAAAAATATTGTAACTAATCTGGTAATCGAAAGCCATTGCTAGATGTTACTATTCGGTTTATGAATAATCCTATAAGGTTGAATTAGAATGGTTTCTGACTATGTAAATTAGACTAGTTTGATTAATCAAATTATTCATTGCCCCTTCTATTTATTATTGGTTAATGTACCAAAATAAAATAAGGAAGCCTAGTCCAGAAGAAAACCGAATAACTTAAATAAATAAAATAGGGAGCGAATAAGACTGTAGCCCAGTGGCAAAGGAAAGGTGCGACAAGGGCAAGAAGGGTTTCCCTAGGGCTTGCGGCATATGTGTGGTAAAAGATGCATGATTAAGTTGTAATCCTACTGGCTTATGGAATTGTTCTATATATAAGCCTAAAGGGTCTTCAGACTTTGTGTGTGGTTTTACATATTGTGAAATCAAAATTTAGAGAGAAAGGAATTAGGTTTTCCAGTTTAGAGAAATTGAAAAATAAAGCACCACACAATCTTACCCTTGCCGCTGCACCTATTGGAGGAGAAGGACCCAACAGTTTGTTGTCTTCATGTTTCACCAACCGGAGATTTATTCGTGTGTATACTAATAGAGGGCTAACAATTGGGAGCCTCAACAATGAATTCATATTTATATGAAATCTAAAAGTTGAAATTCTAAATTTAATTTTAAGTATGCATGTGTTCTTAAAATTATTTTACAAGAACACGAGCACATCGATTAACCTAGATCATGTGGATTAATTTAATAAGATTAAACGGAATCCAAAGTTTCACTAACCATGCATGTAAATTGGATTATATATGCTTACGTCACCTTGCCACACTTCTGCACACATGTACTAAAATAGTCAACAACCCAACATTCATCCCTAAAATTGTGCTACATCCATTGAGATGCTTGTATATATTAAATAAAGATTACAAGAAGCGCTCGGTATAGTCTAACCTTCCTTTTCACTCTTGTGTCTAACCCATATAAGAGGTACTCATTCCCCTTATATAGGCCCTCAGTGAGCCCCAATATTTTGTGGGCTTAAGTACTCTACCGCTCTCGCATTTAATGAACCAAGTGCGTAAACATGACTTGCCAGCTACTTTTCTATCCCTTAGTTGACACGTGGTGATGAAGTGACCTTCGTCCAAGTCTAAATGCATGTTTTCGTAGGCCAATGTTATGTGTACCAAGTGCCTTGCTTGAACCTGGAGTTTGAGGAAACCCACGCCTGAGCGCTTTTGACAACTTTTATGTCCCTTCATAGGCTTCTGCTCTCGCTGATGACCAACACGCTGCCTGAGGTTGGTGTCCAAGTAGGCCTGCTCTTTGGCCTTTGTACTATAAATTTGTCAGTATGCCAACTTGCCACCAGCTTCTTTATTCGTAGGAAAATCAAACCGTTGAGTAGTCGTCCGTAGCGCTTGAGGTGCCCTTTCTTATTCCATGGGCCCTTGGTCTTTCCTTCTTTTTTTTGTCCTTGCTCTTCCTTTCTTTTTTTGTCCTTGGTCTTCTTTTCTTCCTTTGGGCCTTTATTGAGCCTCTTTTAAGTCTGTATTGTTTAGGGTCGAAAAGGATCATGTGTTATGTATTGGTCCCTTGTGGTTGGTGATTGAAAAAAAAAATACAGTAAAACCTCTATAAAGTCATAAAGTTGGGACCAAATCAATTTTATAACTTTAGTAAGGTTATTACTTAGTAGAGGTGTTGTTATTAAAATTACTTGCTTATCCTTAATAAAGTTGTATTTCCTAAATATGATTCATTGGACGTCAAATATTTTGTTTCTTGAATATATGTACTTTCTTGTACTCCAAAGGCGTTGTTCTTTGATTCCCAATGCCCGTTGTACATGTATATAAATGTTGTTGAATGCCTTTTCTTTTTTTCTCTATCAGATAAATCACGTCATTCAAGATCAATATGAAAAATCAGTAAACTGAAAATATTCTTGCTGAGTTATGCAAAAAGAAAGCACCAAACCCAACTAGAAGCAAAAGTTATAACTATGTAGAAGAGTTAGTCACTTCGGTAGGATTACTTAAAGGAATATGATCAAGATTTAAGTCTGACTAAAATTTGGAAGAAACTCTAATAACTCTAATGGGGTGCGGGTTATCGTTCCTTGACAAAAGATGGTTTCCAGATTCCTATATTTGCCAGCAAACAATAAGAACTTTGCAAAGGAACTTTCGATCAATTTCAAAAGAGGGATCCCAATGATGAAAACTAGTCAGTCAATCCAAAAAATCATTAGACACAGAAGGCCTCGGACAATCATGAAGATGCAGCCAGACAAAAGAAGCAAAAGAGAAAGACACAAAAAAAAAAAAAAATGAAAGAAAGATGATTAATAACTCTAACTCTATGTGACAGAAAGCACAAGAGGGGTCAAATTAACGATCTTTAGTATGAAGACGACCCCTTATTAACAACCGACCAAAAATACGAACTTGAGGTTCCAATTTTGCATTAAGGTTCTGGTCCAGCGGAGCGGTGGAAGGAGGAGGCTGAGAAGAAGAAAGCTTCTAAAGGGAGAGTCAGCGAAGGCGCAGTTGGTGAGCACGAGCATGAAGGCCGCCCCAACCGCCATTTCTAGATACGAAGATAGTATCGAGGCAGCAACCATTGGTAAAGATTGAAGCTTCAAGTTCGAGAATTCATTGGCATGTAAAATTAGATTTTTTTTTTTTTTTTTGTTTTTTGGGTGTTGTTGATCAATTAAGCGTTTTTTAATTTTCTTTGTCAAATAAAATAAAAATAATTTCTTCTTGTCCACCTGACGCATAATTGGCATCTTAGCCAACAAAAAAGGGGGACACACCTATTCCATATCATTAATTAACGACCAATTTGACAGAATATGTACTAGATGTACGACATTGCAATGAATTACTTTGCCTCTGCTTCTTCACGGGAAGCTCTAAACATGAAGGAAGATTCACTACGTCATCCTCTCTAGCTGGAATAATGGCTTTGGCCACTGCCCAGTGTCATTATTTGTCGAACCCTAATTCATCCTCTTTAGGCAGCGAACAATTTGTCGACCCCTAATTCACCCTCTGTAGGCAGCGAACAAGCAATCAAACGACATATAATCGACACAAGAACCCATAGTATTATAGGTTTCATAATTTGATCTTACAAAGATGACTTTATCTTGTTTATTTAATGGAAGACTAACAGAAGTTTAGGTTTGTACCTCAATTGTTAACGAAGCTTACCATGGAAATTTAGCTAACAACTTTTTCACAACAAAAATCACATTAAAATTGATGTACCACCACATGAAAAAAAAATATTTGGCCTTTTCTTTTTTAAATTTCATGAACAACTCTACACACTTCATTTAATTAATTATTTGGTGTAGTTAAACTATATGATTCATCAGAATAGATCAGAATAGTACATTTTCAATGTCTACCTCGTGCATGTCAAATCGATGTGAGATTAACGTCAATCTTTATGGCTTGCGGAATTTCCAAGTTATCCCTGATGTTAACGAGGGAAATCATTGATAGTTTCTCTTCTTTTAGTTTCTTGATCAGCAAGACAGAGAATGTTTTCTAACCAACTGAATACTTGAAGTATTGTTAAAGTGTACATGCTTGATGAGGAGGGAAATCATGATGATCATCATTTACCATACAAGTATACAATTAGTTCAGACAAAATTAAAGAAACGAATCATTATTAATTATATCGTTATTTAGTTACCAAATGATGATGAGGCACACTTAAAAAAATTATTTTCTTTAAAATGAGCAAAATAAAAATACTCAAATGAAAAGATTATAAGATTTTAGCTGATGTTAAATATGGTTAAACAATCTCCAATGACTAATCTTAACATAAAAGCTTACATGATTTAGAAAGGATCACAATCAACCATAGATAAAAATTTCGATTAGCCACCAATCTGATAAGGGTCATCAATACAGATCAACTATAAATTGACATAAACACCATATATTTCTTACTAGTGCACAAAGTTCTAAAAGACGCTAGGAGCTAGTCATGTAGCGGGTTGGGGCCTAGCGCCTAGGCGGCTAGGTGGCTAGGCGAGTACCTAGGCTGATAGGTAAATTTAAGTAAATCTATTATATTTTGTATAAATAAGAGTCTTCTTATACTTAAAATATATAAAACTTTATCATAAATTACAAAATAGAATGACATATATATTATGAAGTACTGGAACATAATGAAAACATGGGGAACAAGGATATAATGTGTGCTCATTTAAGTATGCAACAAGTCTCTTATAATTCATTGAAAAATTAAAATGCAAAATGAAAGTTATCTATTTTCTGTTTAAGTGAGTTGCGACTTAGGCGGGTCTGGGCTGCCTAGGTGGGCGCCTCAGCAGGTCTAGGTGCCCTTTCTTAATTTTCAAACTAAGTATTAATTGGAGTGGTGACTAGCCGTCTAGCTCCTAAGCAGGGCTTGGACGAGAATTTTTAGAACAATGCTAGTGTACACTTAATAATTCAGACTCACCTACAGTGAGACTAAACATACAGACAACTCGAGTTTTCTGGACTTACTACAAGGACAAAACAACAAACATAGTCCTAAATACCAAGGGCACCATTTGTTGCCATGAAGAACCGTTCTAATTAAGGATGAAGGACCATGACAAAACAGCTTCACCTCAAACGAACAAAACTAGATGACGATTCGCCGAAACTAACCTTGACCTAAGACAACGTCATCAGATATGAAGAGACAAGACATTAGCAATTCAAGTCCCAGCCTAAAACTTGTCATGTTTAGTGTATCTATGTGGGTCTCTAGCTAAGAGCTTTTCAAGATTAAATAATACTTCCATTCCTCTATGGAGTAAATGTACATATTTCAGTATATGCGAATAACGTATTTTATCGTTTAAGTTTTATATTGAAATTATTTTATATTTTAATTTTAATTTGAAGATTATTTATACAAAAAATCATTCAAATCAGCAATCGTTTAGTCATCCAAATATATTAAATAAATAAATGATTTATCATGAATATGTTACTACCAAGTGACAACGTCGATATGTTCCATACATTTGGATGCATAAATAATCTCCGACTCGAAATGATTTGTTTAGTGATAATCTTCACATAAAAAAAAAAATTAAATGGTTCTGATTATAAATTTAGACAGTGAACATGTGTTGTTTGCAAATAGTAGAATATATGCATTCTCACATGGGAGGAACGCACGTATTATACTTAGATAATTGTTTTTCCCATGGAACTTGAAGAATGAGAATCCTGAGATGAAAGTTTGGAACAAATGGATTTTTTGTTTTATGCGTCCTTATAGGCAATAGGTTAGAGTAAGAAATAATTTGAAGTCATTAGACACGATTAAAGAACTGGATCGTTTTAGGAAGAACTAGTAGTTGACAAACTTAAAAGCTCCTCTTACCAGTTCGTCAATAGTATTTGCCAAATCCGGCAAAAGTCAATGCCAATGCGTCATGGCTTACAAATTAACTTAATTACTTGCTTTGGCAGAAGCTGAAGCTAGCATACATGATAAATTTTATCCTAAAATAATTAAATTAGAAAATGTAGTCCAAATTAAGGGGGAAAATGAATGATGAAAACACAAATTTTCTTGTTGAATTTACAATGAAGCTAGCATAACAATAGAACAAAACAAAATTATCAACAAATACAGTACAAAAGAACAAGCAAATTACGAACAAGAACCCCATAAAATCCATTAATTACAAGGCATTGCTCTCATATATGATCACAAACTGGCATGCATAAAAATGGTAATAAGTCTACCAGACACAACATTATTCCAAACCCCTCACCTTACGTGTTCATCATTATCCTTCATATTCAATCCGAATTCGAATCCCCACCTGCAATATCGCTTGTATAAGAATTATTCAACGGCAGTGGGCACAAAACAGTTTCGTCACAAAAAGCTTATAGCTGCAGCAGCTAATGCAACTCCAATAGAGACAATGCCATTAATCTTGGGGATATTCGGTGTAGGCACAGCACCAGACTTCACTTCAGCAACAGGTTCATGAGATGAAGACTTCTTCTTGTGCTTCTCTTCTGCAGGAGCGGGTGCCAGTGACGGTGGCGGAGTCTTGGGAGCAAAAATACCGTAGGGTTGGAGCACACTGTCAACTTGGTAAACAGCCAACTGACCATCAGAGTAGACAGTGCCTGAGATTGAAGTGTTGACAAGGCCAGTTGAAATGTTCACAGCATTGCCTGATGTGGTGATATTTAGCGGGTACTCGAATGCGTCTCCGGCTTGGGTACTCACCGGATTGCTCAGAGTTTGGAAGTTTTGGGTCGTGAGAAAATCTGGGATGAGATGGTATTGCAAGAGCTCGACTTTTTGTGAATCAGTGAGCGAGTTGAGGGAGCCAGTTTTGAGGTTTGAGAAGGCGCTGTCGGGCGGGGCTAAAAGTGTCAGTTCACTGTTGGAGTTGTTGAGCTGGCTATAGAGCTGGCTATCGATTTGGGTGCTTTTTAGAAGGCGGATTAAGATGTTGAAGCCTCCTGCCTTTTCAAGGATTTTGGTGATGTTGGTTGGGCCTGGTGGCGCTGGGGCATCGGCTGGTGGTGCCGGAACGGCCGCCGGGCTGGTGGTTGCCGGGGCAACAGCAGGGCCTTGGCCTAGGGTTTTGGTGCAATGGGAGAGGAAGATGACTAGGAGTGTGAGTGAGAAGAGAGGCTGATACTGTTGCTTCATCATATTTAAGTGTGGTGTGGGATGTGTTTTATATTTTGAACACAAATGTTGGATATGAGTTTGGAGGACAGGAGAGGGTTTATATTAGTGGTGGGAGAGGTGGGATTAGGTGAGAGAGGGTTAATCTTTTGATCGTTTGTACAACCTTAGTAGTTAGCATGTCTTATTTTCTTGAGATGGAGAGAGAATGAATGTAGAGTGAGATTATGGTGTCATAGCTACTAGTTTGCTGGGGAAAGAAGGAAAAGAACAGAGGGAAAATCAGGTGGGTGTGGGCAAATAAAGCTAGTTATTAAGTGCATGATTACTTTGTTTTCACTTATATGTGCATGTACTTTAGGCTAAATTTAATAATTAATTAAAAAATAAAATACAATATCATGAAAGCATATATAAATTTAGTCAAGTTAGCTAAACAACAATGTCCTTCACTCTCAACAAGTTCGAATCTAACTTCCTATAATTTAAATGGACTTAATATAATTATTTAATTTATTGTTTGCAAAATAAAATAATAGAATATCATGAAATCAGATAAAGATATGCATTCTCCTCTCTAAAAAAAATTAAAAAAAAAAAAAAAAAAAAAGGAAGAAGATATGCATATGATTTGCTTGCCACAAACTTAAGGAAGAAGTATGACATTTTTTTTTACCAGAACATGATGATTATCGATGAAGTTATGCAAGTTGTACAATCCCTATTGGCCAACCTCTCGGATGAAAAATCCCTTGCTATGTGTTGATGATTGCTCCAAGTAGGTCACCTTCACAAATCTTACTATTTTCCTTTTGTTTTCTTAAATTTTTGTTATTATTTTCTTTTTGGATGCTGGGGCCTCACCTAGATATATCAGTTGACATTGGCACTTTTGATTCTGAAATTTCTTTTTTTTTTTATGTGTCTCATTGAAGCAATTTATAATTTATTGCCCATCTTAACATTAGATATATATAGTTACAGTATATAATTAAAGTAGAGAATTCTTTTATTCGAGCAACAGACTAATTTGATTTTAAATATGGGGAGGGGGATTTGAAACGTGAGCTTGTATTTTCATACCAACAAATAAATATCGTATTTTTAATTTAAGTACCAATTGAAAAGTCAAATGAATTGTTAGTTAAAATGACATGAAATGACCAATCCAACCATCGAGAGGCCTAAATCCAAAATGATCAACCTCAAAACTTAACGGACCTTCTAATTCCCTAAACCCTCAAAGTCAAACCCGGATTCTAATATCCTAAAACAGATAAGCTTTAGGACAATATGTAATCTTCCCTACGTTTACTTAGTAATAGGCCCATCTTCCAATAAAGTTTTGGATTTTGTTACAATACTTTCACATATGTACTTAATACAATTATCATCTAATGGTAAAAAAGATTCATGTGAATATATATATATATATATATATATATTTAAATACAATTATTATCTGACAGTTGAGATAGTAATTGTATTAAATACATGTAAGTATTATAATCAATTTTTAAAATTTGTAACCTATCCTAAAATATTTAGTTACGCTTAGTGTGTTTCCTTGCATAGTACTTTTTTCTTAAACATAAGTCCAACTTGATATTTAATTTGAATTTAGCTAATACCGAAATAGATGAAGAGAGAAGAGACACTGTCTTAACCACATTTACTATGATTAAGCCTCCATTAAATCAAAACTTTCATTCTATGTATGTTTGCATACACATACAGAAACTTAACTCAAATTTGTTTGCACTTGTCAACCATGAAAATGCCATTCTAAGGGTTTAGAATTTGACTCACGTTTCTATTTAACATATTATTGATTTTTTTTTTTTTTTTTGGTCGAGAGATATAAATAGGGTAAAGTATAAAAAACTACCTCAACTATTGGTGTCACAACACTTTCATACCTCATCTTTTATAATTGACAATGTCATATGACACACCCCGACCCGGAATGTTCACAATGACCCCGAATCGAGCTGTGCTAGCCGAGTCGCTGACACCAGAAAGGTGACGAAGCCATAAAGTGTGATAGTGCATAAAATGTGAATAAATTAAAACCTAAAAGTGCTTAAGTACACGAGTGCATAATGAGCGGGTCTGGACCCATTTCACGTGTGATACAGAGCATAAGTAAAGTACAGTAAGATAAGATAATGATTATACCATCATAAGAAGACATATGTACTGAAAAGTGTCACGAATCCTCGTTGATAGGGAATTCTGTTGCTAGAACCTGGAGGGGTGCAAAAATAGAAAATATGAGTGAGCGAAACAAAACTTTCCAAATCAATTTCAATTACCAAAGGCATACCTGTATAATTTCCCAGAAAATAACAGCGTGACTATAACTCAAAACCATAACCAAAATAACAGTCTCACAGATATACCATGTCAAATATCTCAACAAGATAAGTAACCCAGGTGAACTAAATCAATATGAAATGGTATGTCAGCTGGATCCACCTATTGTGGCCTGTACGGTTAAACCAATAACTCATCAACATGCTAGTCGGAGTCACCTCACATGACCTGTACGGCTGACTCAATAACTCATCAACAAACTAGCCAATAACTCATCAACATGCTAGCCAATAGCTTAATAACATGCTAGCCAATCACTCATCAACCTGCTAGCCAAAAGCTCGATAACATGCTAGCTAATAACTCATCAACATGTTAGCCAATAGCTCAATAACATGCTAGCCAAAAGCTCGATAACATGCTAGCTAATAACTCATCAACATGCTAGCCAATAGCTCAATAACATGCTAGCCAATAGCCCAATAACATGCTAGCCAATAGCCCATCAACATGCTAGCCAATAGCTCAATAACATGCTAGCCAATAGCTCAATAACATGCTAGCTAATAGCTCATCAACATGTTAGCCAAAAGTTCAATAAGATGCTAGCCAATAGCTCATCAACATGCTAGCCAATAACTTAATATGCTAGCCAATAGCTCAATAAGTATACCTACACACGAGTCGGAACCACCTAAAGTGATCTGTACAACATGACTGGGTGTAAATAAATACGCTCAAATGCTACAATCACGTGAAGACTGTTCGAAATAAAATCCCCCCTGTCAAACCTACGAGTCGGAACCACCTATTATGGCCTATACGACAGGACTGTGCATCTACCTTGGATCCAAGGTGAACGTAAGGTGCGGCGGGTGAACATCACATGAAGGATTATGCCTTGCCACGGACGGGAGCACTAACATCGGGGTGTAGGTTTTTGAGCTCTCAATGCATCTCAACATAAACTGTACACTCAGAGCACCTCTACGACATGTTACCTAATCATTCACTTAGGCACAAGTCGAAGTGTCGGATGAAATGTCATGCTATCATTTCAAGTAACACCATAACTTCCAACTGTACGGCATCCTCTTCCTTTGCACTTCAAGCTTCACAGTAATTCCTCAAGGTATACATAGGATATGTCCTAAAGTACTACATATATGCAGTACCATGTACACCTAACATGGCAAAAAATGCTAATCTGTAACACCCCACCCGAACTATTTATTTCAGGAATAATTATCGGGAACAAGTCCAAGTAAATATTAGTTTAATTAACCATCATTATTTACGATTCTTTACTTCACTCTCTCAATGACTCACACATTGATTTATGACCAACATTTAACCACCAAAAACATAAGGTTATATTTCACATTTCCACAAACTTCCTTCACATTGCTCAATTTCCCAAATAAGGTTTTTGTCTCAAATATATTATGGCTACTTCTAACGTCTCGTTAGACTGCCTACGTACCCTAAACAGGGATCAAGCCATTCATAGTTCATATTAGTACTTCAAACATTCACATTAATTATGTGAAGATAATATACCTAAATCAATTTAAAAGTGTCGATGGAACTATCAATAATATCTACGATAAAAAGGAAAAAAATCCACTCACCTGGAGTCCACGTTATGATTCTCTAGCGCACGCATCGAGGCGTCCCGAATGATTGGCGCCTACCACGAAGTCCAAAAGTGGACAGAAAATGGTCAATTTTTCCCACAAAGCCGGCGTCGATTCGTTGTCTACGGTGGACCAACGGGGTCAAGGTTGGTTAGGATTTGCTCCTGGGATGATGGGCTACAAAGCCCAAGTGGTGGCATTGGTCATCGCTTTGCCGTTTTGCCGGAAAATCAAAAAGGGTAGTCGGGGCACCGTGAGAACCGTTAACTTTCGTCGCCTCAAACCGCCACATACAGAGGTTAATTAAGTGGTTCTTGGGTGCACTATTACAAAATTATCTATAACTGGCGGTCCAAAAACCGACAAAAAACGTATATTACTGTCGGATTTTAAGCAAAATCCGACAGAAAATGGATGCAATGGTGGATATAATAAGTGACAAAATTACCAGCGTCAGAAAATGAATTTTCCAACAGAAAATACTATAAAATCGACAGAAAATATATTAATAATAACTAAAAAAATAGCATTTATGTGGGATAAAACCAACAGAAAATATATTAATAATAAAAAAAATATATAAACCAGTTTCTGCATTTTCCATATCCTTCCATATTCGCTGCTTTCATTGCATTTTCAACCTGTTTCTGCATGTATCAAATCCTTCCATGTTCACTGCATTCCCTGCACTTTCTGCATTCCATACTAAACATCACCTCAGGATCCTCCTTCTGTTAAGAGCATCATGGTTTAGAGAGTTCAAAGACTCTCTTTGAACACAACATGGTTTGACAACATGTTTCAAATTCTTCCATATTCACTGCATTCACTGCACTTTCTGCATTTTCCATATTCAACCTGTTTCAAATCCTTCCTCTCTGATGACAACATGTTTGCTTCTTAAATAAATGTGCTTGAAAAATTTGTATGGACTATATATCTTAAACAACACCCATTATTGTTTGCTTCTTACAGTTATCTTAAATAAATGTGCTTGAACTCATGTCTAGCACACACATATACCTTCAGCAGCAATTTTCCTCCGCTTCCTCCTATACTTCGTGACCTCGCTGGCCATATTTGAGGTGTCTCGAGCAGCATCAGCACCATAAGGCTGTGCTAACCGTTCTAAGCGACCACATCCGCTCGTAGAACCACCACTAACAGCATCCAACCCACTGAAACAAGCAACACAAAATTATTCAAGTTTTCCAACAACATCCAACTACTAACAAATTTTAGCTAGTTTAAATTCGTACCCACAGTTCCCCATATGAGAGACACAGAGAGAAAGAGATAGAAGGAGGGAAAGAGAGAGAGAGGAGAGAGAAAGAGCGAGAGCAAGAGTGTTACCTTCTGAACTTTGGCTGCAAGTGTTCAACTGGAAGTAAATAAGGAGAGAAGAAGGAGAAGGAAATAAGGAGAGGAGAAAAGGGGGAAAGGGAGAAGGCACCGGTGTAATGAGGGGGTTATATTCTGGAAAATTGCATTACTGTCGGTTAAAACGGACAGAAACATAATTTAAAATATAAAACTAACAGAAACATTTTCATTACTGGCGGTTTTAATCGATAGAAAAAAAAAAGGCGACAAAAATCCTGCCAACATTCCCTCCCAAAATTTTAAATCCCCCCCCCCCCCAAAAAAAAATTTGTTACGATTTTAAAAAATAAAATGCTAATTATTTGGTTTAATAATAAATAAATAAATAATATGTATTTAAATAGAATACATTTTTAAAAATTAAATAAATAATTGTTTGGTTTAATAGATAATAACCCATGTAAAATATGCAATAAAGAAACAAAAAGATAATTGTACAATGAAAATGTCATCACACAAACTAAATATTGTCTAATCAATACTTGAAAAACATAAATAAAAATTTAGCACAAATTACTCTTCCCACTTAAAATTTTATGCAAATTTAACGGATATATGCATTCTACAAAATTAGTTTCAATGATCGAACCATCAAACTTGTTTGTAGATACTACAAGATCGCATATATAAAAAATCGTAAAAAACAAACATTCAAAGATTACGTAACAGAACAAAAGTTTTCGACGGTTATAACGAAAAATCACAATTTAACGGTTATTTTAGCTCTAATTTTAATGATTTTTTTACAGCTACACACCTCGACCCTATAAGAATGCAATGAATAAATTTGATCTTCAATTTAAAATATTTACACTAGCGGATACCACAAAATCTAATTTTATACTTAATGGAAGTATAACATTAACTTTTAAGTGTTTATTTAATCTACTGTTTTGACGCGATACACATTCTACGAAACTTTTTTCAATGATCTAACCGTCAAACTTATTTGTACACACTCCGAGATCGCATTCGTAAAAAATCACAAAAAACAAACATTCAGAAATTGGGTAATAAAACAAAAGTTTTCGACATTTATAACGATTTTGATGATTTTTTACAACTACACTCCTCGACCCTATAAGAATGAATTCGATCTTCAATTTAAAATATTTACGTTGGTCGATACCACAAGTCTTACTTTATACTTGATGGAAGTATAATATTAACTCTAAGTGTTTGTTTAATCTATCGTTTTGACGCTATATGCATTATACGAAACTTTTTTCAATGATCCAACCGTAAAACTTATTTGTACACAATCCAAGATTGCATACGTAGAAAATTGTAAAAACATTCAGAGATTACGTAGTGGAACAAAAGTTTTCGACGGTTATAAACGAAAAATCACAATTTAACTGTTATTTTAGTTCCGATTTTAATAATTTTTTACAGCTACACTCCTCGACCCTATAAGAATGCAATGAATAAATTTGATCTTCAATTAAAAATATTTACACTAGTGGATACCACAAATCTTACTTTATACTTGATGGAAGTATAATATTAACGTGTTTGTTTAATCTACCCTTTTGACACGATATGTATTCTACGAAAATAATTTCAACGATCCAGCCGTAAAACTTATTTGTACACACTCCGAGATTGCATACGTAAAAAATTGTAAAAAACAAACATTTAGAGATTACGTAACGGAACAAAAGTTTTCGACGGTTATAAACAAAAAATCACAATTTAGCGGTTATTTTAGCTCCGATTTTAATAATATTTAACAAATACACTCCTCGATACTATAAGAATGCAATGAATAAATTTGATCTTCAATTTAAACTATTTACACTAAGATTTTATACTTAATGGAAGTATAATATTAACTCTAAATAGCAACTCTTAGAGCAACTCCACCTCTAAAAAATGAGATGGCCCAAAATCCATTTAATCCACCTAAATGAATAGTAATTTACTCTAATGGACCCATTTAATCTACCCAAATGAATAGTAATTGACTCCAATGAACAGTAATTTGCTAAGTGCATCTCTACCCTTAAAAAATGAGCTGGGCGAGAGTTTAGTCAATTCGTATTAAAATATTATTATTATTTTTTAATAAAATAATAAAAAATAATTTCATTTTTAATTTCGGATATAATTTTTAACTAATCTTATCACCCTACATATCATTTTTTGAAAGTACAATTTTTGTGAAAGATGGTTAGGTATTTATAAATAAAAAAAATCTTTTATTTTTTTTGTATTTTTAAATACTTTTTTATTAAGTTAATTAATCTGAACCGTTTGATTTTAAAAAAATGAAATCCAAAAGTGGACACGCGGCCCACGGTAAGGTTATGACATTTTTTTTTGTTAATGTTGGAACGTGTGCCCACTTGCGTGTGTATCCCACGCGCCAGCGGCAAAAAAAAAAGAAATTCACCTGACTGTGCTGACGTCAGTCTGACATCATGTAGGCCTATCTCTTACTTAGTTCATTGTGTGTTATGCTCAAAGCTGGCCTTTATTTTGGGCTAGCCTATTAGGGGCTGGTTTGGTATTGATGTGCTTTTAAAAAAAGCTAATTCTGTTGTGCTATGAGAATAAGCAGCTGTGAAATAAAGTAGCAGAGTGTTTGGTAAACTTTTTTGTAAAAGTGCTTTTGAAAAAAAAAGAAGTATTATAGTGTTTGGTAAACTTTTATATAAAACAGATGTGAAAAAAAACCGATTTTTCAAAGCTGGGTTTTGCAGCTTCTTGTTTTTGGTTTTTTTTCACCCAAAACTGTGAAAAAAAGCTGAAGCTGAATGTTTACCAAACACAAAAACAGCTCCCAGCTTATTTTGATACCAGCTTTTTTCAGAATCACCTCAGTACCAAACCAGGTCTAGGTGGGGTGGCCTAAAAAATAGACTTTGGACTAGCACGTTTGTTAGGGGGTGGAAGGGCTCTTAGCATCACCGTCCATTTCTTCAACTTTCTCATACTTCACAGCCAGCCAACACGTGGAATCGCCCTTATCGTCCCAAATACTGACCACCTCCATTTGCATCTCCTCTCCGAAAAGTCCAAACCCGAAAGTCAACTACGCTCCAAACCCCAACACCCCGCGCACCACCCGATCCCTCCTCCCCAAAAAGCAGACCAAATAACCAGTAAGGAAAAAAAACACTCGACGATGTTGTCTCGCTCTGTTAGTCGGCGACCGTAAAATTTCCTAAATTCCAACGACGATGTTCAACAACGGCTACTCCAACAACAAAAACGGCCTGAACCCGATGTTGTCGGCATCATCGTCAACGACTGCGACGCTGCAAACGACGTCGTCTTCTTCGTCTGCAACGACGAATTCCCAGACCCAGTCGCTTATAAAGGCGTATTTCAAAACCCCAGAAGGCCGATACAAGCTTCACTCGGAGAAGACTCGGCCGCCCAACCTCCTGCCGTACTCGTACGCCAAGACAATTTCTCAGGTACCCAAAAACTAAAAAAACGAATTTAATGTAGGATTAATCGAAGCAGGGCCCGAATTAATCGGCTTGTCTTAGATATGTTGTCGTTGTCGCTGTCTCTGTTGACTCGGAGTAGTCAGTGTTTGTTTGTGGATTTTAGGTGACGGTAGCGCAGCTCAAGGACAAGCCTAGCGGCCAGCCTACGCTGGCGCCGAGTTTCAGCACCACCGGAGTGCGGTCGGCGGCGGCGAGGCTGTTGGGGGGAAATGGGGGCAAAGCTCTGAGCTTTGTGGGAGGGAGTGGATATAGCAGAACCAGCAATGGGAGTAGTAGGTATGCTAATTTCGGCGGGTCGAATGGGACCCATCACACGGTTAACTCGAATCTCGGTAGTAAAGGGTCGTTTTTGGTATTCAATGTTGGGGATACTGTTTATATCAGTGATCTCAATTCGCCCGATAAGGTAATTTTCCGTGTTCTTGGGGTTGGATTGGTTTTTTATTGTGCGGTTTGGATAATTGGGTTTCTGTTTTTTGGGAATCTGTGTAAAGGGTTTTCGGGATTTTGTTTGTAGGATCCTATCAAGGCTTTGCAATTCGGCAATTCAAATCCGGTGTGCCACGCGTTTGATTCCGAGGCCAAAGACGGGCATGACTTGCTTATTGGATTGAGCTCCGGAGATAGTAAGGAATCTTGTTTGTGTGTGATTGAATGGGGTTTTGGTGATGAGGAGGCCGTTTGTGACTTGGTTAATTTGTTTGTTGTTGCAGTTTATTCGGCGTCTTTGAGGCAGCAATTGCAAGATTCTGGAAAGAAACTTGTTGGTGCCCATCATTATAACAAAGAAGGTTCTGTCACTAGCAGGCAAGATTGTGACTCAACTTTGCCTCATCTCCTTCTGCTTTGTTATCTATGTACTACAAGTTTGTTGATGAAAAAAGGTGTCAGGAATGCATATTGTCACTGCTGCCTGCTGGTGTGCATATAATCTTGATTGTGTTACGGGGAAACGGGGTGGACCAAGGAATAAATTTGGATAAGGTAGATAAACAAATTAACACTTCTTGTGTAAGTGGAGCTGTGAGTTCCCTATCCAGAAAATTCCCACTTTCATTGATCTTACAGTTTAGTTCTGTACCTTGGAAATACATACCATAGTAGAAGCAGAATGTGGTTGTTACATATCAAATAAGTTTGCTAATGTAATCATAAATTGTGATCACTCTTGAAAAGTACCATAGCTGTTGGCTTGATATAACGTTACAAAGCAACGTACCAAATGACTTGTGGGGGTGCAGGGCGTTATGGCTGTTGGACTGTGCTTAGTGGTTTCTGTTTTGGTGGCAGTCATCATGCACAAACTAACTATTTGGTTTTAACAGTCGGTGTGCCAGTGTCGCATGGGTTCCCAAAGGTAGCAGTGCTTTTGTTGCTGCTCATGCTGATGGAAACTTGTATGTGTATGAGAAGGCAAGCCTTGATCTTTAATTTTTCCTGTTTCAAATGCTATTTATCCTTTCCTGGTTTTCGTGTTTTCCTTACTTCATGAACTGAAATCAGCATTAATTCATTTTAGAGTAAGGAAAGTGCTGGTGATTCTTCTTTCCCAGTTATAAAGGATCATACTCAATTTTCGGTGGCTCATGCAAGATCCAGTAAGGTAATATCAATGTATAAAATTTCTTCGCGTGTTAAGTAAAGCATTATTATACGTAATTTTCTGCTTATGTAAAGGATTGGCTTTTAAAGTACATACCATTATGACCAAGGTCAAATAATATTATTATTACTGCCACTGCGTATTAACCTACCTTTGCCACATTTTCGCTTGAGCTGCTGCAATACCGCCATATAGGTTATGCAGTTTGGCTAATCATTGGAACTTTTGTTATTTCCTAAACCTTATACAAGAGCCAAATATAAAAGTTTTTATCATCTTCCTTTTTGTTTCTTCTTCCCCCCGTTTTCTTTTTTATGGTTTATCTGCAGAGTAATCCAATTTCCAGATGGCATATTTGCCAAGGTGCAATAAACAGCATTGTTTACTCAGAAGATGGGGCAAATTTGGCAACAGTCGGTAGAGATGGTATTCCTCAATCTGTTACCCTTGTGACTCTGTGTATGAGCGTATCTGTTAATTGGTACTGATGTTAGGTGCTACATGTAGGATATTTGCGAGTATTTGACTACTCAAAAGAACAGCTAGTATTCGGTGCTAAGAGTTATTATGGTGCTCTTCTGTGTTGCGCGTGGAGGTAAAAAATTAAAATATATATTTTTCATTGATACATGATTATACTGGCCAAATTCCTGCCATTAGTATATCCAGAAAGTTATACTTGTGTTCCACATGATGTTCATACGAATTTTCGTCAAACTGAATGTGTTTACACATTATGATGTTCTTATTTGACCTTCATTATGTGTTGTTTCTCAGTCCGGATGGGAAATACATTTTGACAGGAGGAGAAGAGGATCTCGTTACTGTATGGAGCATGGAAGATAGAAAAGTAGTAGCTTGGGGTGAAGGGCACAACTCATGGGTACAGTTCCAGCAAACCTTTGTGCATAATCGTTGAGTTCTCCCTCCTTCCCTCATTTGATTTAGCATAACTCATGGACATCTCACACCTTTTAGCCCTTATGCTTGCAGGTTAGTGGTGTGGCGTTTGATTCATATTGGTCACCACCAAGTTCAGATGATGCGGAAGAAAATATTGTGTACCGTTTTGGTTCTGTGGGTCAGGTATTTGCTCTCCCCTTCTCGTCCTTGCCTAAGAAAACACTGAGATGATATGCCATGCTTAACATGTTTAAAAAAAAAATCATTTAAGGGCTTACGTTTATCTTCATATTTTTTCTGTTGATGACCGAATGTTTATCAGTACCAATTCCTCTCCATCACACAGCTAAGCTACATATTCTTTTAAGTTTTTCTCATGCTGGTTAGTATCAAATATCTTTAGCTATCGGATTTTTCTTTTTTGTTATTCCTGGAGACAATTGTTTAAGTCCAATTAAAGAAATTCAATGGCTAGGTGTGAGATTTTCAAAGAGAGAAGTTGGGGCATGATATATTTTTATGAGGCTAAAATTGGTCCATGAAATATTTTTCTGCTTCAGATGTGATTTTTTTTTTTATCTGTGCCAATGAGTTTTTGCTTGTCTGGTTACTTCCACCTCTGATACGTGTGCTTACAGGACACAAAATTGCTCCTATGGGACCTGCCAATGGATGAGATTGTAGTGCCACTTCGCCGAAGTTCACTTGGTGGATCTCCAACGTTCAGCACAGGTAGCCAGTCATCCCATTGGGACAGCGTTCACCCCATTGGCACTCTTCAACCTGCTCCCAGCATGCGGGACATTCCAAAGCTCTCCCCACTAGTGTCTCACTGCGTTCATTCTGAGCCCCTATCCGGATTAGTTTTCACAGAGGAAACTATTCTCACTGCATCTTGGGAAGGGCATGTAAAAATTTGGATGAGACCTGGCGAACCTGAAAATAAGTCAAACACAGAAACCCTGCTAGGTGTTAGTCCAAAGGACCAACCACTCACAGGCAAAGGTTACACAGAACCATCTAAAAGCAAGCCATTCAGTGAAAGTAATCGAAACAGCATGGATACCCTGCTCGGTGCTAGTTCAGAGGACCAACAACCACTGACAGGCAAAGGCGGTGCTTTTAGTTTCAAGGAAATGTCAAAAAACAGTCAATTCGGGGTAACCTTCCATAGAGCTGAATCGCTGTTTGAACCTGTAATTATGCCGCTTTCAGCCACTCTGATCCTTCAGATTGCCATATGTATCATACCAGGTAATTGAATTTGCTTTGGTCAAAGCTTATGCACAGAGGAAGTAATCTAGCTCAATGGTGACGAAACGACGGTTTCTTTTAGATAAGAAGCAAAGAGGGGGTAGAGAGAGACGCACATGGTATAATTGTATCGCTTTTAGGTTTTTGCAAAGGTAGGTTTACAGCTTAAAACTCACAATATTCACATGGTGCTGACTGCTTATCTATAGCACAATACATGTACAAATGCCCATTGTTTTGCGTTGGCGGGGGCAGATTCTTTTCGTTTTCCTTGTGACTACTTAAGATAATATGATTTTGTGAAATGGTCACCAGGGCCAAAATAAAAGCGACATCGGAGTTGCCTGCAACGGTGTCCAGAGCGTATTGTTTTAAACTAGCATCGGTATATATTCCGGATGTGATTCATATGAAAGTTCGGTTGCTTTGGTGTCTAACAGGAGCTTTATAGTTTTCATATTACTGTGAGATGTAAACATAAGTATATTGGGGAAACGGGGGAGACGAACTCAAGTCCAACTCCACCAGCTGGCCTGCCGTCTAACGACCGGCCCCTAAAACCTCCGACGTTTTCATCGCGGGGGAAAATGTTGTCCTTGGAAACTAACATGAGCTAAGTCGAAGAATGGAACAAAGTTCATGCACGTTTTGTGCACTTGCAAAGGGAAGAAGAACAAGTGCATCCAATACTTTGTACAACGGTACAAGGTTGTAAGTTTTTTAGCGGTCTCCATTTAGCATGTTCCGAAACCCCTACCTTGCTTTTGCTTCGGCTAATTTTCTCTTTGCCAATGCATCCTCGGCTTCTACTTTCTCCGGAACATAATCTATGAACATAACCGGTTGTGGATCAGACAGCGTAAACAACGGCGGAGTAAAAATAAAACGTTTTAGTTCCAAGTGACATTGAAGCGGGCTTTTTTAAAACACAACGGAAAATCAAAGCGGAGGTTCTTCACTCCTAACAAAATCTTCTGCACTCGAAGTTTTCATATCGTTGGACAATCCAAACTGGAGCCTTGTTGCTCTGGTAAAAACGGGTATTGCTTACATAGCACGATTGGAGGATTTAGCGCCAGGACAGCTCCATTTCAAGAGGAAAACGAGATGCGAACCCCGTTTTGATTTCTATGCAGCATGTAAAAGCAAGACCTCACGAATCATGAACCAACCAAACCATGAGAGTGCTAATGTGCTAATGTTCAGTGTTCATAACAATGCGATAATCATAGACAAAAGTAAAATTGAAGTATTAAATTCACAACCGAACGCACTGACGTTCTAGAAATCATACAACCATGAGGATAAAGCTTGGTTGTTGTTGCTGTAAACAAATAAAAAGAGTGAAGAGGAGAAATGATCCGGTATCTTAACTATTCGACTCAAAACCCGTATCTTAAGACCTCCCAACTTAGACTCGGTTGCTCGATCCTTGCGTCGGCCACATGCCTGGTTTGAGCCTCATGACCATCGTACGGCCTACGCCCTACCAACACAAAAATTTCACTAAAAACTCATCCTTTGAAAAATACTATGGATTCTTTACCACATGCCATGTCATTCTATGAACTCAAAAACCCAATTTGACCACGTAAAACAATTTCATCTTCATGTTCCATGTAGAACAATGGCTAGAAATTACAAAAATTAATAAACCAAACCAATCCAAACAAAACCGATTGCGACAAGTTAAGCTAACACCAAACAACCTGGTTATATTATTTGTTGGTTTTTGAGGTGTAACAGACCAAATTGGACTGCGTACACCTAAAACAAGAATTAGGTTGAGATTATTCTTAATTTGAATAATCTGTTTCGGCAACTTAGCAGGGCATGTGATTGTGTCAAATTGTCAATGTGCTTGTCTGAGACAGCTTCCAACTGTCGTCCTTATTGACCCCAGTCCCCTTAAAAAGAAGCCATCACCATCTAAAACCCAACTAGCACTCGGACCAAATTAAATGTACAGCGAGATTTGGACATTGGGATCTAAAGCATTGAATATCACGGGGCATGTAGGATTGTAGGTACTCCCCAAAATATTACTACGTCAATGCATGAATAGATGATTCTATTTTGTTAATGGTGAGTGCTAAATGCAAATGAAGCGGTTAAGAATATTTATCTCTATACTTAAAAGTGATTGGTTGATTTCCCTTCCTAAACGGCATGCATATAAAACTTTATCCAAATATATGTTGCTTCTTTAAAACCTTTGTGAGAAAATTGTAGCAATGGTTCCTCAACTTTAACCCAATTGTAGCAATGGTTTCATGACCATTAGTCCCTTAACTCATCAAAACGTGTAGATATGGTCCTTTTCGTCAACTTAGTTAGAATTCTATCAAAATAAGTCACGTTGAAAGGATCATTGCTTCAATTGGGTTAAAGTTGAGGGATCATTGCTCTAATTGGGTTAAAGTTAAGAAGTTGAGGGGTCATTGCTACAATTTTTCTCATTTCTTTTTTCATATTTGCCCCTTGATTCAGCCTCATGTGTGTGGTACGTGACTCATTTTGACGGAAGTTCTAATGGAGTTGACGAAAAGAACCATTGCTACACGTTTTGAAGAGTTAAGGGACCAATGGTCATGTAATTTTTAGTTGAAAGACTATTACTCCAATTAAATTAAAGTTAAAAGACCATTGCTATAGTTTCCTCAAACCTTTGTATACCAATGGAGCCTTTAACTTATACGATGCCCACTACTTGATCACAATAGTGCCTTGTGCCTACTATTTTGGTGTGTAGCTAGTAAAAAAATACTAGGTCAACTGTCCATATTTGGAGAATAAACAACGGTACAAAAAGTTGTTCAGTTACGAGACTCTTTCAACGCTGAAATAATCTAGAGGGAGTGGGTCTATTTGGAGAATAATTTAGATGGACCGAGTAAACATCCTAATCCGATAATACAAATACTATATGAAGCGAGATTAATATGAAGTATTGTGTTATCAGACTGAAATATCACCTGTTAGTGGTTTAATTTAATTTGAAATGCTGGTAGGACTTATATACTAGTGGTGCATATGGTTTGCCAATACTATCAACGATGCAGATATGATGCAGTACTAAGTAGGTTTTGGACCATTTTATGGCACTCGCTGCGCGCATGCACCGCCCCAAAGTACATATCATTTTCTCAGTAGACCAACCTAAAGAACATAAAGGTCAATGCATCTTTTCTTTTATTTTTTCTTGTATTTTTTTTTTCCTCTTTAGAAAAAATGATACTATCTATATTAAAGGAGAGGGTGTGAGTTTAGCCTCACAATGAGTTAGCGATACTATGGTTTGAATTCGTTTTTTTATGAGAATCGAACCTAAGACCTTGCACTTACAAGTAAAGAGAAATATCAGTAAAGTGTAATACTAAGTGACAGGTCAATTCATCTTTATATGTGCTTCATCATTCTTTCTAGAATCCGGGTACCTTGAATGATTTTGTGACACCCCCATTGTGCTCGCTTGTGTTGATTTTTACATGGCACCACTATAATTTGGTGGGTTATTTTGGGCTATATAAGGGATTGCAGTGAGCTTCATTAGCGACTGGTTTTTTTAAGTTAAGTGAGGCAACACTTACGGATGATGTGGAGTAATTTTTGGACGAGGTATAACATGCGTTGGATCTAATTTTGGATGAGACGTATATACTGCATGACCGTCACGTTATGTTACAATCTGCTTTTGTGATAACATGCATTGTACTTATTAATGATACAAACTTTACTGTATAAACTCCATTTACGTACGCGTGTTACTTTAGTATTATACAGTAATTGTTTTGTATTTTTGTGAATTGAGAATGTATGACAAATTAGAACAATAGCCTCATCAAACTTGGGCAGCTGTCACAATATCTGAATGACGAACCTTCCCACTAGCTATTGGGATTTCCACTTGAACCATAATAATGCTACAAAACTACCCTATTCAAACGTTTCAACTGTGGCTTTTAGTTTTCATTGGCAAGCATTGATGTGGCAAATTACAAGTGGGCACAGATCGATTTGATTCGGGTTGTTACAAAAAAAATATAACTAAATCAACTAGTATTCAACGATTCGGTTTGGCTCAGTTTGATTCAATACCACTATTGAATCATTGTTCAAACCAAATCAGTGTTACTCGATTTGTTTCTGTTTGATTCGATCATTTTAAATCTATTCAACACATAAATAAAAACGTTCAACATTTCAAGAGTTTTAATTTTCTAAACGTTCAATATGATTCAGATCGGTCGGTTCGATCAATTTGATTCCCACCCCTATGGCAAACCATCACACTTTTGCAAGTCATGCCAAGCTGTGGACTAGCTACCAGCTGTCCATGCTAAAGTTAAAGTTGGATTAAAAACCCCAGACAAAAATACCTATCACACAATCGAACAAATGGATAACATAAATGATATTTTTGATAAAAAAAAAGAAAAGGAAAGAGAAAAACATAAATGATATGGATGATGCAGCTACTGTTTGGAACACGGACTTGAAAGTGATGACCATTATTATATCAAGAACACATACGTGGTATATGTGAATTGAAATTAGTCTGTTTCTGTTAGTATGCATTTCTGCGCTCAATTTTGAATTCTAGTTTATTAAATGAAAATAGATTAAGAATAATGCTAGGGTTTGTAGCAAAACTCTAATCCCATCTCGTATTGCTGAAACACGAAAGAATATTCTAGAATTTAAGGAGATAATTTTGCACACATTGTTTTTAACATGGCACGTTCGTATTTATATTTAGCCATCGAATTGAATAAATTGAATAATGAAACGAAACAAATAGTTTGAAGTAAAGAGAGCGTGTGAGAAATTGAAAAAGTTGTGCAAGTTCAATGACCGTTTGATCTAAAAGTAATCACTAATTCTTAGTATAATAATTTGAATTTTGGAGATTTTGCAGAAACTATAATATGTTATCACCTTATGCGATAATAGTGCCATATGAAGAGAAATATTAGTAATTTAATATGCTATTAATGTATGACGAGATAACTCTTATATTATTAAAAACGAAAAAATGATGATTGATCTTTAAATTTACGACGTTAAACAAGATTTCTAAATTAATTCAATAATCGGGAATAATAATTTCAATGATTGAATCCAAATCCCGTACCCTCGTCCATTCATCTCTCTCGTTCACGAGATTTTCTGTTGACTTTAAATATTTCTTTTTCCTTTGGCAGTCCAACGTTCACACGCATGACACAACAAACGCATAACTGAAACGCCAGCTCCTATGAATCCAAAGTAGGATTCTCCCCCTTTTTTTTTTTTTTTCCTTCGTCTATTCGAACGATCACGGTGGAAATCTTAATTCCGCCAATGCACC